TTCAAGGCAAGATTGAACTACATAGTGAGATCTTCTCTCAAAACAAACAAAGAAAGCAAAAAAAAAAAAAAAAAAGCCACTCCTCTCATAAAATAGTTTTGCTTGGGAAGCTATACTTATTAAAAATATGTTAACAGAGAATAGATTTCTTACTAATTTTTTGTTTGTTTGCAGTACTGGGATTTGAACCCAGGACCCTGGACACAGTAGGTAAGTGTTCTCATCACGGGGCTGGGGGTTTAGCTCAGCGGCATAAGCGCCTGCCTTGAAAGCAGGCAGTCGTGAGTTCGATCCCTGGTACCGATAAAGAGGAAAAAGACAAAAAAAAAAAGTGTTCTCATCACTGAGACACACTCCCAGTCCCTTTAAAAATTTTTTTCTGAGACAAGGTCTCACTATGTAGCCCAGGCTACTTTGGAATTCATGATGATCCTCCTGCCTCAGCCTCCCCAGTGCTGGGATTACAGGCATGCACTACCATACCCAGTCCTATATTTCTCTTTAAATTTTGGGGGGGGAAATACATCTATAGATACACCCCATATTCAGAAAGCTTTCTGAGGTATTTAATAATTTTTAGGAATAGAAGCATGTCCTAAGATCCCAAAGTGTAAGAACCATTGCACCAGGGTGATTCTCCTGGTTCTTTTGGGACATTCCAACTGCTGGCATCTAGTTTTTCCTTGGGTTGGCTGGTTTCAAGCCAAACAAAGGAATGCTCTGTTCTGCTTTACAACTGTCAGGGACTTCCCGCTGCACTTAAATTTTGGTTGGGCGTGGTAGTGCATGCCTGTAAATCCTATCCTCAGGAGGCTGAGGCAGGAGGATCACCATAAGTTTGATGCCAGGCTGGGCTATATAACAAGACCCTATCTCAAGAAAAAAGAGCCAAAATAAGTCAAGCTTGGCTGCAAAGTCTATATCCAGCCGTTGTGACTTCCCTTCTATGGTCCAGGGTCAGGACCTGCCCCAGGTTTGTCAGACTGCAGGGAAACGGCTCTGCCATGGCAGTCAGGAACCTTCCAGGTCTCCGCAGCCAGGCCCCTCCTCACTGCCTTGCCCTGGACAGCTTCCCACGCCTCCTGGGCTCTGTGGGGTCTGTCACCCCGTAAGGACAGCTACAGCTATGGAAAGGCATCAGCTCAAGCCACAGGGTCTTTTTGTTCCCTGCTGTTTAGTGTCACCAGGCATGAGGACACTGGGTACCGGCACCGTGGCTGCCCCTTCTTCCTGTGTACAAACTGAATGTCCTTGTCCCTGTCCTAGCTGACTCCCATGACAGCATTTCCAAAACAGACCCTGTGGGCTGCCATTCTGACTCCCGGCCTCTCTTGGTCTCTTCCACCCCGCTTCCTTGCCAACAAGGACCCCATTTGGACACGGTTGAGCCCCAGGTGGTCACTGGGTATAGGAGCAGCCAGGTCCCCCCACCCTGTCCCTCAGCAGTGACACTCCTCTGCCGGTGAGTGGCCTAGAAACCAGCAGGTGACACACTTTTGCCAGGGAAAACATGACGCCATGTCTAGTGGGCACCTCTGGGAATTTCTGCATCACTCTGATAAAGGGACCAAAAGTGTGACGTGTCCCTTGAGAATATTAAGCGTGGGCCTTTTGAAGCCACCTGGTGGCCTTACGGGGACAAGCAGGAGGACAGAAGTTAGCCCCTGAAGGAGGCAGGGCTGATGATGGGGTGGCAGCCTCATTGGGGAGCTTGGTGAGTCAGTGAACTACCAACCCCTGAACCACCAGCCCCGGCCGTGGGCCCTGTTCCCTTCCTTGTTTAAGTCAGCTGGGGTCACTCTTCTGTCACCTGCAGCCCCAGCACTTCCCATTCGGTGTTTGCTGACTGGGCTGGTGTCCAGATGTGCCCTCAAAGCCTCATGCGGTCCGGGTGGGCTTTTCCAGAGGTGGCCGGCTGTACGGTGTGTCCGCTGGGATTCAGGCTGTGTGGTTACTGCAGGAGCCCACTGACCGGTCTGGCAGCGCCCTCAGCCCTGTGGGCAGACAGAACAAAAGAAGGGAAGAAGTCGCTGTGGTTGCTTGTTTTTTGCAGACTTCTGCCTGCCATGAACTGTTTCTCCTCTGTGATGCCCATCTCCCAGGCCACCCTGCCTTGGCACCAGTCAACTATGGACTGAAGCTCTATAAACTGTGAGCTAAAAAAACTACTCCTTTAACTTAGGATGTTGGGTATTTTGTCTCAGCGATGGAAAAAAGTAACTGAGACCTTTGCTTATGTCCTTTATAAAACCAGTTAAAATTTTTTTTTTTTGAGACAGGATCTCGCTATGTAGCCCAGGCTGGACTTGAGTTCGCTAGAGAGCCCAGGCTGGCCTCAGACTTGTGGCAATTGTTTTGCCTCAGCCTCCCAAGCGCTGGAATTACAGCCATGCACCACCACACCTGGCAGTTCACATGGCTTCTGTCTGCACACGGCCCTGAGCCACTTCAGAATGTAAAGACTGCGAGGACGGGTTCTCCTCCACTTTCTTTGTCACCGTAATCCAAGTATGTCATACATCTAGGACAAGACAGGCCTCCTGCACATATGTAATAAGAAGGAAGATTGCTTAGTCTCATTTCCACCCGTCTCACGTGGCAGGAAAGAAATCAAGCCTCACTACAATGTTATTACAGACCACGCCTTCCCGGGGCTGCGGCCCCAGGCTCACCTGCCAGGCATCAGCTGCGCTGCTGGGAGCCCCTTGGGAGATTTCCTGCCTCTCCGCCTCTCCATTTCCGGAATGAGCCAAGCTCCCCAGCTGGCGCAGTGATAAAGCAACAGGTCTGAAGGAGGTGCTCCCTGTGTAACCATCTCGGCCCTCATCTGCACCCCTGGCTGGGAGGGGCTGAAGGGGGACAGCACACTGGGGCTGCTTCTTGGCTTTTTGTGGGGCACCTCTAAGCTGATGGAACAGTGCTGCTCAGTCCCAGGCTCTGCCTCACCAAAGTTAAATTCTTCTCCAAAACCTCCCTCTGTCTGCTTACCCCGGCCCCCGCCATCTCCCCACGTACAGCTGACCTGAGTCCACAGCTGCCCCCAAACCACCTGGGTTTCCGGCTCTCATTTCCCAGAGCACAACATGGTGGGGAGGGTTAACCTGTGTTTAGCAGCACAACTGATACATTCAAGAAAGAATCCAGGGCTCAGGCCTTGAAAACCTGTGGTCAGTCCAGTCTGGCTCTGACCAGGTGAGTGACCATGAGCAAGCCAACCCTTCTACTCTCTGAACCTCAGTCTCACCCAGAAAATGGGGTTGATGGGTTCTCTTTACTTTGCCAAGTGTGGTAGCACACACCTGTAACCCAGCACCCAGGAGGCTGAGGCCGGAGGATGCCTTCGAGTTCAGACCAGCCTGGGCTACATTGTCAGTTCAAGGCCAGCCTGGATAACATGAGACGGCGAAACCTTTCTCAAAAAGGAAAAAAAAAAAATTAAATAGATTAGAAATAAAAGAGTAGAGATAGTGGATTTTAATGATGTAAAATATGCTATGCTAGGGCTGAGGATTTAGCTTAAATCCTCAGCCCTAGCATAAGCGCCTGCCTTGCAAGTGTGCGGCCATGAGTTCGATCCCCGGTAACAATTTAAAAAATATATATATGCTATGCTACAGACTTGAAAATTATTTTAAAATTGTTCAAGATTCGGATTATTTTAATATTTTCAGCCTTCCTAGTGTGGAGATTGAATTAGAGGCAGACAATACTGAGGCTATTTTTGCAGGGTGCTGGAGACTCTGTCCTGTGTTTTCTGGCAACAGCCTGTCCACCAGTCACTTCAGTGCCCTTCATCGTTCTTTAATTCAACAAACTGAGTGTCCACTGTGTGCCACCGCTGTGTGTGCTGACAGAACAAAGCTCCCTTAGACTCCAGAGAGCCAAGGAAAAAGTTGCGGTTGGTGAGTGCAAATCTGTACCACGTGAAGGGAATCTCTGGCCTTTTGATTGTGTAAATGGGGAGCAGGAACCACAGAAGGGTAGGAAATGTAGGAAAACATGTGGAAAGAATCCAATGTCAGCAGAATCCAGAATGGCCCCGTTATTGTTAAGCATCTTTACATGATTGTAATATCCTAACTAAAAACACAAAACCTGAATCTAATCATGAGGAAATACCAGACAGATAGAAAATGAAAAACATCCCCTTTTAAAAATGTAATAGGCAAAGAAAGGCTGAGGGAAAGTTGGGAATTAAAGGAGACTGAGGAGATGTGAGAAACGGGCAGAGGACTTCGCTGTTCGCTCTGTTAGAGGGGGCCACAGTCACGCTCATCGCCGGCTCAGGTGACGAAGTTGCAAGGCAGAAGAAAGATTAAGCTGCTGGGGTAAGCAGACGTCCTCGATCTTAGGAAACCCACACTGTCCTAGGCGAGAAGAGAGAGGAGGCGGGGGAGAAGGCAGAAGAAAGGGGAAGGGAAAAGGAGGACAGAGAAGGAGGGACGAAAACAAAGTGAAACGTTCCAATGGGTGCATCTGAGGAAGGGTATGCATGTGTTCTTCGTAAATGTTGTGTAACTTTTCCAAATACAGGGTTTTTTTGTTTGTTTGTTTTCTCTTTTTTTTTTTTTTTTTTTTTTTTTTTTTTTTTGCGGTACCAGGGATCGAACTCTCAAATACAGGTTTTTGAAGATTTTCCAGACAGGACTTTGGAAAAAGGACAGCCCTATTTTATTTGCTCTTGCCATCTCTGCCATCGGCCAGAGTACCATCCCCTCCTCCCTAAGGTCCTGGGGCTCATCTTCCCAAGTCCCCTAGCCTTGGAGCCGGACAGACACGTGCGTGTATCAACAGGCAACTACACTCCCCAGAAGGCTTTGCAGCAACAGCGCATAGGTTACCACCAAAGAGAAAAGATTTTCCTGCGCGGGGCCAGCCGCTTCATGGCCTTTTGGGAATTGTAGTTCACCTGTAAAAGAGTACCGGGGCCAGCACCAGGCTGCAAACCACGCTTCCCAGAGGTCACTGCGCTCCGGGCCACCAATCGGAAGCGCAGGTCTTAGAAAAGAGGCGGGGAAGGGAGGAGCGGCACGGCGCGCGCGCAGTAGGTGCGGCTGGGAAATTCATGTGGAGGTCAGAGTGGGAGCAGGTGAGAGTGGTAGATTGGTGTAGGCCTGTGTCTGGGCGTCTCAGAAGTTCTCTTGTGCTTTCTTATATTCAGTTTGAACCTGCGGGGTGCATGCATTTATCTGCCTCTGGGGGAGGGGAAAGGAGCTGAGCCCAGGAGGAGCCGGGGGTTGCGCAGGGGAAGAAAAATCCAGAAGCTGTTAGCAATAGCAAGGATCAGTGTCCAGTCTCGAGGCGGAATATACGCGATCAGGGTTCAGTAGTCTTGGAGTTAAGATGTGCGCAGGAGGGAGAGAGGGTTTGCGACGCGCTGGTGACGACTTTGGGGCGGGGCATTGGAAAGTTGAGGCTGGAGTGGTTTCCAGGGAGGCCCGCTGGTTCCCGCTCGCGCTCCCTGGTCTGCAGAGCTCCGCCCCCGCACTGGGCAGCTCCTTGGAGCCCTGGTGCCCAGGGGGTCCTCCTGCTATCCTGGTCCCAGAATGCCGTCCTGCTTGGATCACAGCGGGTCATTCTTACCCCGGGATGTCGGGAAGCAGTGTAAGGAGAGGAGTTAAACCCTGCGCCCAGGGATTACAGCCCTGGCTCTAACCCTGACCCAGTCACCTCTGCACCCGAGCTTCCCGCTCCGGAGTAATGACTTCGCTGTCGCTGTTGTTGGCGCGTTCTTGGAGTTATTTTTCCATAACCCGCTTAGAGGGTATCTTTGTCTAAAAAGGGGAACGTGGCTTAGTGGGGTCCACCCCTCGTTCCCGTTATTGAATGAAGTCCTCCGAACCCCGTTCCTTACGCGATTACAGAGAAGCAACTGCGAAGAGAAAGAGCAGAGCGGGCGCGGACACTTGGCTGCGTCCATAGCTCTTTCCTTAGTGGTCTCAGGACATGAGCAGCCAGCTTGAGAAGTGGATGCCGTGCGGTGGAGCAGACCTCCCTCCCGTGAGCTCACGAAGCCAAGGTGTTTTGTTTTACTCCCGCAGGCGTGAGTGGGGCCTGCAGGACGAAACATGGCTGCAAAAGTGTTCGAGTCCATTGGCAAGTTTGGCTTGGCCTTAGCGGTGGCAGGAGGCGTGGTGAACTCCGCCTTATATAACGGTGAGCCACTCAGTGGTGAGGCTGAGGTGTTAGGGTCACTGCCCTCTGCCCAAGGAGCAGGGTTCTCCAGGCCCGTGTGATGCTCCGAGTGGCAGCTGCTGTCTGTGATATGTTTGGGCCCGAGGGGTCACCCTCTGCCACTCTGCACCCTGTGGCTGTACTGTTACCAGTGCCCTGTCCTGTGGGCTGTGGTTCTCCAAGAGCCTCCCAGTTACCGGCTGGTGGGATGTGTCCCACAGCCTGTGTCAGTTGGAAGTGACACTGTCACCCAGTGCTGCTGCGGTGTCCAGATTTACTGGCTGCAGGGAGGGGGATGGTGTCTGCTCTGCCCATGCGTGGAATGAGTCAGCACAGGCCTGAGACCCGTTTGGGTGACCTCGTCCTGAAAGGAGTTTCACTCTGCTCATTCCAGAGAAAATACCTGTGAGGCTCACTGCCCTGATTTTCCCAGCAAGGCCAGGCTTTGCACTGCTTTCATGTCACTTTACAATGGGGCCTCAGCTTCCTCACTCCTCAAGCAAAGGGGCTGAACTAGTTATCTAAGATCACTTCAGAATGTGTCATTCTGTAATTTCCACCGCACAAAGCAACAGTAGTTTGACCTGCCTGGTGCAAGAGTAGGATTATTTTGGCTGTGGTCCCAGCACTTGAGAGGCTGAGGCAGGAGAATCTCTGAGTTTGAGGCTAAATAGTGAGCTCAGGGCCAGTCTAGACTACCTAGTGAGACCCTGCCTTAAAAAAAATAAGTGTAAGATTATTTCAGAGGAATAATTTCAGAGGAAGGTATTTGTTGGACCAACTCTGAAGTTAGAGAGGGAAAGATGGCAGCAAATTCGCACAGCCTGCTGGGTATTTGTGATCCCCTTACTGCTCCAACCCCATTCTCTGTGCCCTGAACAGCTATGTGGCTGTTGTCATCACTGAATGAACAAATGTTAGAGACACTGAGCTATTGGAAGAATGGGACCTAACTTGTAGGATTCCTGTAGCGAGGGTGCTTGGATGGGTAATCAGGAAGTCAACAACCGGCTCTTTGAGGAAGAAAGAAGATCCTGTCACCGAAGTCCTTGGGAGATGCCTGGGACAGGAAGTGATCACTTAGTTTACTGCTGTTCAGAAGCTTCTAGAAGCCACAAGACGGAGCCAGGGAGGGGAGACGCGGTCAATGAGTAGACAGCATGAGAGCTTTCAGTGCCGTGGCCCTTTCAGCTCTGGGCGGAGGGACATTTCCTGACCTGTCGTCAACTTGCTTCCTAGTGGATGCTGGGCACAGAGCCGTCATCTTTGACCGATTCCGTGGAGTACAGGACATCGTGGTGGGAGAGGGCACCCACTTTCTCATCCCCTGGGTACAGAAACCCATCATCTTTGACTGTCGCTCCCGACCCCGGAACGTGCCGGTCATCACTGGCAGTAAAGGTGAGTTATCGCCTGCGCCCTTCTGCTGGCTCCAGGGCCCAAACCGGGTTGGACTTGACATTGTAGGAACCTAGCATTGCCCTGGATTGCTTTATGGATAGAAATACATCCTGAGGTGTGTGCACAGGCAGCAGCACGTTTAGAGAAAGGTACAAGGTGAGACAGGCACCCACTATGTAGTTCAGGCTGGCCTGAATTCACGGCGATCCTCTTGCCTCAAGAGGCTGCTGATTGCTTCGATCAGGAGCTACCATGCCCAGCTCCTCTGTCCCGACTTCTAAAGCTGCTAGGTGCCTCCAGATGAGGGGCTGTGTGTACCTGTATGTTTTATATCTCACAGCCACTTGGTTTATGTTGTCATGAAAAAGCAATGGCCATGCATGACCTGGCTTGCCATCTTAAAACATTCAGTGTCCCCAAGATCGCATGGCACCTGTCAGACTTACTGTCTGAATTGCTCTTATCAGAGGACACTTGGGACATACTGAAAAGTGTCCGCACCAAATCTTTGTAAGAATTTCCCAAGCCGGGCGTGGCGGTGTACAGCCACAACCCCAGCACTTGAGAGGCTGAGACAGGAAGATTGCCACCAGTTTGAGGCTGGCCTGGGCCACATAGAGAGACATTTCCTACATTTGCGGTGCTCTGTTGGCTTCCCTGCCAGTAAAACTGGGTACGTCTGCTCGGTGCCCACCAGGGTCTTAACCAGAAGCTACTTTGCTTGTAAACTGTAGCAGATTTGGGCTCAGACGGGTGCCGTCAGAGGCCACCTGCTTCCCCCAGGGTTTTAACCCCATCGTGGTCCCTAAGATTTGCAGAACGTCAACATCACCCTGCGCATCCTCTTCCGGCCGGTGGCCAGCCAGCTGCCCCGCATCTTCACCAGCATTGGCGAGGACTACGACGAGCGTGTGCTGCCATCCATCACCACCGAGATCCTCAAGTCCGTGGTGGTGAGTGGCCAGACACTGCAGGGGCAGGAGGGCCGGCCCAGGGCTGTCACTGTTCTGTCCTTTTCCCGCCTCCTTGCTGACCCTATCTGCACTCTATCCACAACCAGGCTCGCTTTGACGCCGGGGAGCTGATCACCCAGAGAGAGCTGGTCTCCAGGCAGGTGAGCGACGACCTCACGGAGCGGGCGGCAACCTTCGGCCTCATCCTGGATGATGTGTCCTTGGTAAGATCCCAGGTGGGGGGACGGTCCACTTCCGGTGGGGAGGCTGACTCGGCTCTGGGCTGGACTCTGCTGACTTGAGACTTGAGAACGCGCCGCTTTCCCCAGCTGTTCGCACTGGAGAGTTTTTACCTCTCCTCCACCTGTTCCTATTTCTTATGACCAACCATAAGTGCTCCCCAGAAGGGTGTCGGGAGCCCGTGTGAGCCAGCACGGAACTACCCGGTAGAGACCAGGGGGCAGCCCGGTGGCCTGCACCCACCTCCTGCCCGACCCTGGGTTCCCAGCATTTGGGGCTGAAGCCCAGGGAAGTGAGTCTAGGGAGAGGCGAGAGAGGACAAATGAGCGGTGTGTCCCCTGGCAGTGTGGGCCGGACAGCCCTGCTCCTCCTGAGAGCCTAGACTGTGTGTGTGAGATGCAGAGTCCTTCCCTCAGACAGAAAGCCACGCAGGCAGGGCAGCGTGGAAGGCGTGGAGTTTCCAGACACCCAGGGAAAGCTGACAGGGATTTGCTGGGCCAGTGAGGTGGCGTTTCCTGGTTTCCTGTCCGGGCTGCTGTGCATGGCCGGGAGCGCTGCCCGCAGCTGTTTAAACAGTGGTTCCAGCACCCTGCCTAGGCTTGCTGGCTGTAGTGCTCCAGGGGCACCGGCCAGGCTGCAGCACCGCCCACCAACACCTGCTGTCAACCTGAGTATCCTGGGCCCCCCCCCCCCCGAGGGCTACCAGAGAGCCTGAGGCAGAACTTGGTGTCTTGTTCAACTATGACCACAGGCTCCTTCTGGGCTCCATTCTGGGTCAATGTGGGCTGACCACAAGAAGCCGATCCTAAGAGGTGTGAGGAGAGAATTAGGCTTCCCGGGGAATCTGCTGCCCTCAGCTGGCCTGTGGAAGGAAGTGTTATTCCCTAATTACCCATTTCATTTTCCTTTCCTCAGAATCATCTTTCCTTACCCAGACATTGAGTAAGAGTCCCAGAGTGCATCGGGCCAGTAGAACAGGGCAGTTTTGAAGTTAGATATTAATGCTTGGGGAAGACGTGCAGGTGGGCGGGACTCCCCAGGAGAAGTCAGGCTGCATGTGTTTTTAAAAGCAGAGATTGGCCCGGGTGCCTGCAATCCCAGCACCTGGGAGGCTGAGGCAGGAGGATCGCAGCAAGGTCAAGGATCGCCTGCAAACAACAACAAAGCAAAGCAGATGTGGGAAAGTGAGAGAGAAAATAAAGGGCATAAGACGTGCTAGCGAAACTGATGCTCTTCCCTGTATCTCTTCTTCCACAATAAAAGTTGGGGGAATAAGAAAAGCATTCCAGGCCAGGCAGGCATTGTGAGTTGTGCGCTGTTTCCGGTTGTCTGTCCTGTCTTTAGAGACGGTGGCCTCAGCCAAGGCCCAGTGATTTATGTGACCAGGGAAGGGCTGGGTAATCAGAGCACAGCCCTCACCCTGGCCTCTCTTCTAAACTCTTTCCCAGAAGCACTCACAGACCGGGAGCACCTCGATCCCGTCCGCGCCCTATCTTCCCGGCCGCTTCCTGTGGACCGCAGCAGTGCCGGTGGGAGCAGGGCTGGTTAATTCATAAGCGGAGCCTTGGCTCCAGGTCCCTGAGAACTGGCTGTGTCCCCGGCTCTCGGGGCTCCGTTTCCAGCTGGCCTCCCACGGATCTCTGCGTAGGGCATCAGAGGATCTTGGGAGGGCGCTGGCCAGGGGTCCCGAGCCCCCATGTCTCCTTTAGGGAGGTGCTGGGTGGAGAAGGTCCTCCTGCTGCTCCAGGCCCCCTTGAAAGCCCTGCACCAGTGCTGTTCTCCACTCGAGGTCGCCTTACCCAGGGTGACAATGACATCATGCATGGCCCAGGCCTCTAGGCTGTGCACAGCAGCTCTCCTCAGCTCGTGCAACCTCCCCACCCCCCGCAGACGCATCTGACCTTCGGGAAGGAGTTCACGGAAGCCGTGGAAGCCAAACAGGTGGCCCAGCAGGAAGCGGAGCGGGCCCGATTCGTGGTGGAAAAGGTGAGCGCTCGGCCAGATGGCGGGGCCCCTCCCCCGGCCTCCCCAGCCCTGCCGGTTGGCCTGAAAATCCATCATCTGTCATCTCTCCTTCCGGGATCATTGGAAGGAGGGGGAAGGAGCCGCGCTCCCCCAAATCGATTCCAGAGTCTTTAGGGGCTCATCAGACACACGTGAAGGGTCATTTTCTTCCCAGTCGCCTGAGATCAAAAACCTCCCCCCCTCCACATAAAACCGTTACCCCTGGAAAGCTTTCAGCCCCACCAAGAAGGCGATTTTAACCACGGCTGCGTAGTGAGAGCTGACAGGAGAAAGATCAAACATTGTACCAGATGTGCTGACCGCCTCGGGGTCTCTCCCCAGGCTAAACCCCTCCAGATGTGTCCGAGATCCTGGACAGAATGCAGTGTATTTGTGGGTAGCCGGTCCTTCCCGTGTGCACAGAAGGGGATTTATTTGTTGTCCCCTCCCACCCCAGTGTCCTAATCCAAGTCCCTCTCATCCTGCAAATTGGGGAATACAGGGACTAATGTCACTTTGGAGACCGTGGCAGGGACATGTTTGGCCTTGTACCTGCCGAGTCTTCAGAGGGGCTGGGACAAAGTCCAGCACTTAGCCCAGGGGTACTGGGCACGCATTCTCCATCGGCAGGGCCCACCGAGGGCAGCCTGAGTCTCAGGGCTGCATGCAGGCCGGGGTGCGGCTGCGTGGTATGGTGCTTGCCTGGCAGCTACGGGGTTGCAGTCACAGCACTGCAGAAAACAGAAAATACTCTCACATGTGGGTTTCAGAGATGCTCCGTGCTCTGGTCTCTTCCCATGCTCTGAAGGTCACCGTGTCTGTCCCCGAGGTCAGCCACGAGGTATTGGCTACCGGCCACGGAGCCCTCATCTGGGTGCCTGGTCAGGGCCCAGCCCCGTTCGCATTACAGGCTGCTCTCATTAATTTACTTTTGAGGGTGGAAAGATGTGTGGGAGTAGGAATGGGGAGTAGGGCTGGCTCCTCAGTGGGCTGCCTGTTCTTCAGTCATTTTGTTTCCTTTGAGATAGGGTCTCACTCTGCAGCCCAGGCTGGCTCCAGCCCTCAGCGATCCAAGTGCTAGAATTATAGGTGTGAGCCCAGTGGGCTGCTCTTCTCATTTTGGGCTTGGTGGTGCTGGGCCTGGAGCCCAGGGCCACAGGGATGCTGGGCACGCTCTCTCCCACTGAGCTACACCCCTGGCCCACTCCTACCTGCTTCTGGTAGAAGCTGTTTTGATTTGGGATGAGAGGGAAAGGTGAGCCTGCGAAGTGATTGCACTCTGGTGGTGTGAGGCAGGGTCTCCCTGTCCAAACCAGCCTTGAGCTCCCTGTGGCCCAGGCTGGCTTCGGGTTTATGGTGATCCTCCCGCCTCAGTTTCCCCGAGTGGTGGGATTAGAGGTGTACGCCACCGTGCCAGGCTGGATGCTCACACCTGCTGTGCCGAGAATCGGCTATAAGGGCAGGGAGGGATTGGCGGCCAGTGCCCCTGCCATCCGTTGCCCTGAGGTCTCTGTGTTGCCCACCTCCGCCCCTGTAGGCCGAGCAGCAGAAGAAGGCGGCCATCATCTCTGCGGAGGGCGACTCCAAGGCAGCTGAGCTGATTGCCAACTCCTTGGCCACCGCGGGAGACGGCCTGATCGAGCTTCGCAAGCTGGAGGCTGCCGAGGACATTGCCTACCAGCTCTCGCGATCCCGAAACATCACCTACCTGCCGGCGGGGCAGTCGGTGCTGCTGCAGCTCCCGCAGTGAGCCTGCTGCCCCGCTGCGCCCCCGCAGCAAACCCGCCTTCCTTCCGCCCCGCCCCAGCAATGAATCACTGTGACACTTCATGATTGAGCTAGAGCCACAGAAATAAAAGTAAAATCACCTTGGCCCTCTGATTATCCCAGGAAGCTCTCCCGTTCTTCCCGTACCCGCCTACTTTTTACCAGCCTCTCCACCGGAAATTGTCAAGTGCCTACAAAGATCGGCTGGGGCCTGCAGGTGCCCCGGCCTGGGCTCTGGCATTGGCAGGAGAAAGGCAGGGCAGCGTGACCGACAGGGGCGTGCAGCTGGCAGGCCTGGGAGACCAGAGCTGCCTTCCTGTCATTCAGTGATGATCCGAGGACCGGAAGGCAGGTGCCTGGCCCCGTTGAGGTGGGTGGGCCGTCCCCCAGGGTTCTTAAACCAGGATGGACTTGGACAGCGAAGTGAGGGGAGGCCCAGCCTGAGGTGCATCCTGCTGGAGACTTCCAGCTCCAGCGCCCGGCGGGATTCAGCTCGGAGGATCACATCCTGCAGGCTGCTGGGTCGGCCAAAGACCTGCATCCCACCTTCCCGCTCCTCCTCCTCACCAGACTGCTGGCCTGGAATCAGTCATGAGAAGAAAGCAAATGTGTGCAAGGCGCTGTCAATAAACGGCACCCAGACCTTCCAACTGTGGTTGGCTTGTTTTTTCTGGTGGGCTGAGGACAGAGTGTGCTGGCGGTCTCTGCCTTTGTGTGGGGCTGTCACCAGCTGGGACGCGACGTCCAGCCAGGCAGAAACCTCTGATCTCCAAATCCTGCCTCGGCCAGAAATCAAACCTGCTTATAACTCAGCAGGGCAGTCATGAGGTTGGTCCCTGGGGGAGAGGTTAGTTCACTGTATGCTGAGGCCATCAGAGGTGGCCTGGCTGTCAGCTCTGCAGCGCCCCCGTGTGGAGAAGTGGGGAGGGCACAGGTGCCGGCCGCCCTGCTTGCTCAGGCTGAGTTTGCAGTCACACGTGTGTGGCTTGGGGCTCTGGTCTTGTGATGGACTGGGAGAAGCTTTGGCGACAAGGGCAAGGTCATGCACTGGGATAGTAGCAAGGGAGACAGCAGACCTGGGATGGAGAAACAAACCTTGCCCTTCCTCTAAGAGCTACTTGGAATTACTCCCACCTCTGTCCCCCGGTGTCTGGTCACCACTGGCCACTGTCCACCTGGATTCTGCATTTCCTGTGCCAGGGGGCCGGGGGCCAGCTGTCAGCTGGACAGGGCAACCTGATGTGAAGATTTGGAGTAAGCTGAGGGTCAGGTTCTCCCAACACCCTGCAGCCCTCTGGTCTCAGCCGGAGATGCTCCTCCCATCCCCAGGGAACCACAACTCAGCTCAGCCGCCAGCACGCGGCCACCTCCTGCGACGTCCATCCAGCACACAGGGCAAAGCTAGGCGTGGGCATCTCTTTCCTGGCAGTGGACGCTTTTGCCATAGGACTGGTGCAGCCTGCGAACGAGTGGCCAGTGCCAGAAGTGTGACTTCTAAATATGTTCCAGGCTGGCTCGCACTCCTGTTGGCCTTTATTGCTTTGCCCCCTGCAGTGTGGGGGCTCCCTAACCCCTTTTTAGAGAACCCTTCTGTGTTTCTTGCGTTTGGTGAGACAGTGGAGTTCAGGTATAAGGAGCCTTGAGCGCCCTGAGCAGCCTCGGTCCTCTGCAGGATGGCTGGAGATGCCTCCTAGTAGCAGCCTGGGGCCTCCCCTTGCTTGCCAGTAATTCTTTTCACAAGGCGCAGAGCACAGAGCTTCACTGGCTTCCTAGCTGAAAGCTCTGACTGGGTTTCTTAGGCTCCCACAATGGGCCTTTATCAGCTGCTGTGCTCTGGTCCTGCAGCCAAGGCCTGGCCTGGCCTGGCCAGCGAAGCAAGGGCAGGAAGTGTCTTCCTCCCTCTCTCCTCCAGCTAGGCTGAATGGTCCCCTTGTTCAGGGCTGCAGGGTCACATGCAGAATTGGCTGAGGACCTGGACGAGGAAGGAGGACCCCAAAGGCTCACCATGTGCCTCATCTCTGTGAGTTCTATGCCTCATCTCTGTGAGTTCTACCTGTGTGCTGGGTAGGGGGAGGGATGTGTCACCACCCTGTGGGTCTATTTGAAAGATAAAGAGCAGGGTGAGCTGCCGCACTCCTGTAATTCCAGTGCTCAGGAGGCTGAGGCAGGAGGATGACCATGAGTTGAAGGCCAGCCTGGACTGCATAGTGAATTCAAGGCCAATCTGAACTACACAGTGAGACCCCATCTCAGAATAAAAACCTTTCTTCTCCAGGAATCTTCCTCTGGCTGACTCCTCCCAGGCTTTGGGGGCTTCTTTTTTAAAGAACCATGCAACTCCTGCAACATTGGGATTGAGGACTGAACTATTAACAGTGTTGAGACCCCAGCTGGTTGGCCCTGGGCTCGTTGGCCACGCACAGCTGGAAGACTGCACGGAAATGTACTGGGCCTGGGGAAACCAGGTTGAGATTGGCTGAGAACCGCTTGGCCTACGGCACGGTACTGAGAATTGAACTCACAACTTTGCTTTTTCTAAGCAGGCCCTTGGGCTGCTGAGTTTTATTCCCAGGCCCTGATCAAGAAGAGGTAATGAAGCCAAGATGGCAAGGCTACTTTGGGGGAGCTTAACTTTACGTCATCCTTGGAGCCGACCACAAACCTGGAGTAGCCAGGAAAGCCCGCTGGGCGGAAGCCTTGGGCCATCCATGTTTGTTTGTTGGAGCTGTGGACACTTCTGGTTGGCAGTCTTTACAGCCTGCAGCCCCTGCCTGCTTTTGCACAGCTTGGGAGCTAAAAATGGCTTTTAAAAGGCTGCAAAACATCAAATAGATAATATCTCATGGCCCATGCAGATGATACAGAACTCCAGGCCATGTGTCCATCTGTAAGGTTTCGCTGGCTGCAGCCCAGTGGTGACCACACTCCCTGCCCCCCACAGTAGTGCTGGTGCGGCCAGCTGCCAGAGACTCGAGGCTCTCACAGCCGAGGTCCACTGTCCCTATGCAGGACCCCTGACTTAGGGGGTTAGTTTCAGAGAGGGAAGAACCCTGGAATCTGGAAGCTGGATTCTCACACTAGGAGGAGTTCAGGGCTTTTGCTCAGTCTAACTGCCGTGAGAGACCCTCCCTGAGTCCCAGGCTGACCTGGAGTCCCAGCATGCAGGCTTAGCACCCCCCTGCTGTGCTCTGTGCCTAGGGCTTCTTTCTTCCTTCCTTTTTTCCTCCCTCCCTTCCTTTCTTTTTTTGGGACAGGGTCTCTCTATGTCACCCAGGCTGGCCTGGAACGTGCAGTGACCTTCCTGCCTCAGCCTCCTGAGTGCTGGGATGACAGGTGCAGCCTTGCACATGTTTCTGGAATGACAGAAGGTGGAAATGGGGGTCACACACAGGTAGGAATTAGGAAGAAAGGAGAAGCCTAAAGTCCCTCAGAGGTATGAGGCTCCCTGGCCCTGGGCCGAAACCACCTCCCCCACTGCTCCGGGAAGCACAGGCTGCTGGCTGCCCTACAAATGCCAGGAGAGGCCACTGCCAGAGGAGGGGAGCCCAGGGTGGCAAGAAGTCCCAGAAACTGGGGCCTCTGGGGGGGTCCAGTCTCTGGACAGCAGCGTCTCAAGGACACCTTACATGTCCTAGACATTGGAAGGCAGCAGTGAGACCTGCACTGCCCTCCAGGGTAGGCTGCACCAGACCTGACCCACTCCCACCCTCACCCCCACGCGCCCGCCAGGCTTCCACAACACACGGACTTTTATCTCTGGCCTGTGATCCTCTTCCCTTTGTGGCCTGCTGGGCTCTCAGTGTGAAATGTCATTTCCTGCTTCCCAGTCCCCACCCCACCCTGGCAAGGTCCTCTCCCTTCAGGACTCCTTTCCTGCCCGGGAACACCCCTTCCTCCTGGTGAGGGCTGAGCCTACCAGACTCCTAGGGTGTAGGTGGCGGGTGGCTCCAGGCTGCTGGGCTCTGTCTGCACTGTGCTACCTTCTCTGGGCTCCCTGATTCCCCGGAGTGGAGGCCTCTGGGTGCCCCAAGTCTTTTTTGCACTCCCCGAGGGCAGAGGGGTGATCCCTCCTGTCCTGTCCCTCACTGAGTGACAAGTGGGTGGCAGTAGTCCTGCCTGCTCTTTACAGAGTTCTCTATCAGTGCTGCTCTGGGGGCTGCCTGAGATTTCTCACCCATGTAGCAGAAGATACATGGGGTGTAGACCTGGAAAGATCTGGGGCTGCATTCAGACTGTGACAGGTATTCCAGCCAGGCTGGCCTTGAACTCACAGCCATCCTCCTCCTGCCTCAGCCTCCCCAGTGCTGGGATTGCAGGTTTACACCTGGATGGCTTGAATTTGGATTCTTGGACGCCAATTGTCTTCCCTCCTCTCCCAAAACAGCTAAGGACCGAGGAGCTGGAAGATAGGCGTGAATGTGCTCCTGAGACAGATACCGGTTTTCCTCAGGAGCCAGGATGCTGTTGATGCTGGAAGTCAGGGTCTCAGCGCAGCAAATGCTTCAAGTCCTAGCACTTCTGGAAGCTCCCGGTCTCTTTCCAGTCTGTTCCAAACCAAGCCAAGCACGGCTGTGTCCCCTCTCTTCCACCAGGGGGCAGCAGGCTGACCGCCTCCGCAGGTGCCAGCTGGGGCGGTCCAGGAACAAGATGTTCAGGAAACGTCCTGGAGAAGGCATAGGAGGCTGTCGTGCCAGCAGCTAGGGTGGGCAAGCAGGCTGAGACCCTTTGCATATGACCTCCAGATTCGGACACCCCTAGCACCCCTGCCCTGCCTGGTGGCAGACGAACTGTGCCATCCAACTCAGCTGAGGGCGTCAGCAGCCAGCCTCATGGAGCCTATGTGCTCAGGCTGTGGGCAGTGGGGAGCTGAGCCAGTTGTTAGTGAATGGCTGTGACACAGAGGGCACCTCAGAGTTACTTTTTGAGACCCTGGGGATTTCCCTCCTAATTCTGCAAACCGTCCAGGAGCAAAGTCTACATTAACGCCCATAGAGTAAGTCTGAGGGGGGCTTGGCTTCCACCTTAGGGTGCTGTCACAGATAGCAGGTGATTGGAGCATGCTACTGAAGGGCTTTGTGTGGCTTTCCTGCTCCTGTCTTCAGAGTTCTTTCCCTTTTTCTTTGGGTCAGGCCTAAAATTAAACAGTGAGGCTATAAAATGGGGAGCAGGGAAAGGGAGTGGTTGGAAGTGAGAAAATGTTCAAATGTTTGCCAGAAGGAATCCACACAGTGTGGTGTAGCATCAGCTATGCTGTCATCGTGCGCAGAGACCTTGATTTCTCCTGCCACCTCCCTTTGACTTTCCTGGAGAATTACTTAGCCTAGCTCTACCCTGCTTCATTCTGCAAATGCATCAGATGGATGGGTGCATGGATGCATGGGTGGATGGGTGGATGCATGGGTGGATGGGTGGATGGGTGGATGCATGGGTGGATGGGTAGATGAGTGGATGCATGGACAGGTGGTGCATGGATGGATGCATGGATGGATGGGTGGATGCATGGGTGGATGGGTGGATGGGTAGATGCATGGGTGGATGGGTGGATGCATAGGTGGATGAGTGGATGCATGGGTGGATACATGGATGGATAGATGCATGGACAGATGGGTGCATGGACAGATGCATGGATGGATTGCAGTGCTATGGACCA